GCCCGTTTACTTTACAGACCCAGACTTCCCACTTCCCATTCTCGGCTCTCAGGGAGGAGAATCTGGTTGGTCCAGCTCAGCTGATTGGGCTCACTGTTGCAGGGCCCGCAGGAGCAGATTCAGCTAGTGTGTGCCTAGCCTGGCGGCCGGGCCAGGCCGTGGGTGCGGAGGAGGGTACACAGGAGAGGGCCGTACCCTGGCAGCAGAGGAGGGCGGTCCAAGGACTGGGAGGGGCAGTAGTTTTACACGGTTCAGAGCTGCGATGAAGGAATAAGGAGTGAAACTAGATTTGGCAAGTTGAAGTCATTTGCACAGCTAACCCAAATTAGAAGAATTGCAGGATGGGTAACCAGTGGCTGTGGTAGATACTCATTTGTACAGAAGTTGGGAGAAGAGACATTTTTAAAAAAATGAAATTTACCTTTGGAGTTGCATCAGAAAAATTCAGAATTTAATTTTTAAAAAGCAGTAATTTGTATTGTTTTCTAACAGTAAAGCATGTCTCCGCCTTTATTCTAACTCTAGAATATGTGGTGTCTTGTGCCACCTGATACAAGAAATTCAGTAAAGCTGTTCTAGAGCTCATTTATGTTTCATACCCTGCAAATTCATGAAATAATCATTGCTTATTTCCACATCTTATTTTGCTGCGCCTTCCATGGCATCGTGACAGATCTTGTGAGGAAGCCCTTCTTACAGCCAGAGCAAACCTCTGTCCCAAAGATGATATATCCCGCCCCTTAGGTAAATGGTAAAACAGGTCATAAGAATAATCTAACCCCTTTTCTTCGGAGTAAAGCCCATTACGTCTGTCTGGCTTTCAGAGTTGTTTTTAGACGTGCATTTCAAACGTGTAGGATTTAAGACTGTTTCACTGATTCAAAGTATTTGGCATCAGCCAGCAAACATCAGTCAGATTTTCAGTTAACTAGTGTTCAGTAACTTACTACCGTATCTGTATATTATTGTAAGATTAGGACTTTGTAATAAGCCCCCAAAACTCACAACTAGAATCAGAGAACCTGAAAAAAGCAGGTTGTACAAATCGTCATGGTTCTTAGCAGCTAGTTAGCGGTAGTGACCCACTGTGAAGTGCGGCTCAAGTTACAATGCCTTAGTGTAAGTATCTATAAAGTTTCCTGAGCAAGTGCTTGAGTGCCCTCTGGAGGCATTATAAACAGCTAAAACAAATTCCTTAAGAAGTTTTATTTAACAGCCAGAGTTGAGAACCAGTGGACTAGATAGTTGAGCTGGTGGGGATGTAAATGGGGAGCAGAGAAGAGCCAGGATGGAACCCTTGGGAATGCTAGTATCCAGGGAAGAGCAGGCGTCTCCACGCAGGCTGAGAATAAGGGTTCATGCAGCCAGAGTAGAACACGGAGGCCGTGGAGTCACAAGAGGGAGTGTCATGCAGGGTAAAGGATGATAAGGGCCTTTGGGCTTGGCCAAGAGGAACTTCAGTATTGCAGCGGTGGTTTGAGGAATGATTGGGAAATGAGGCGATGGAAAGTAGAAAAATAAGTCTTAAGAAGCCTGGACGGGGAAACGGAGAGAGAGAATATGTGGCAGCTAGAGAAGGCATAGGATTAAATGCTGGTTTCCTTAGGATAGAAGAGACTTCGCGTAGGTTTAAATGCTGAGAGGAGGAAACGAGCAGAGAGGAAAAGAAGTGGAAAGATGTGTAGGGTGGGGAGGGGGAGAGAGCTGGCTTTTAAGTTCCTGGCCTTTTATAGGGACTTAGAATATGGCAAATTAATGATTTTCAGTTTATTTTAGGATGATAAGGAAATATTCCTGTTACGAGAGAGTATGGAATTGTCATCATGGAAATGGTCCTCATTCAAGCCAAGCAGATAGGTAGTTGAGCTTTAAAAAAAAAAAGGGAGTCAGAACATACCTTTAGCGGACACTTGTGTTTGGGAAGTAGGAGTAAAAGAAATGGCCAGTGCCCTCGGCACAGCCTGAGGGGAGGTGAGAAAATTCAGGGAACTGGGGACCGAGCAGACTTGTATGAACTAGAGTCGGAGTGAAACATGGGCAATGGCCTTGAGATTTGATGAGGAGGAAGGAATCATGACTTGGAGAGCAGTTTTGCAGAAGTGGCGTCGCAGTGGGTGGGAGCGTGGGAGAGGGCTGGGCGTGTTAGTGGTAGAAACAGCAGGTGTAGGGGTTCGCGGGACTGCCCGGCAATGAAAGTGGGTCAGACGCGTTGGCTGTGGCTGGAACCGACGGAGAGTTTGTCCGTGCTTACCGAGTCAGAGTCCTCAACAGCAGCGACCACAGAAAAGAATTGTATTTGGTCTTTTGCTTTTATAGGTATAAGATTTAAATTCCTTATAACTTCTGTGCTACGTTCTCTATTTTTCTGAGATTGGAAATCTGGCCAAATGGAAAAGAATGTATAGGTCTATTCACGACATTCAAGGGGGCTCTTGCACAAGGAAAGAGAGGGGAGAAGTGGCCAATTTTTGATTTATTGTTCTAACAGATGTCCTTTAAATCTACAGGACCACTTGCAGTCATGAATAACATTTTTTTCTTTCTGGTAAAACTAATAGGATGGCTAATAGATGTTGTGTGGCGTAATTTTTGTAAAATAATTTTCATTAAGAAAAGAGAATAGACTCCTGATATCAGGAGTGCTAAAATACTATGTTTAAATTTGGGAGGTGGGCTTGATCTCTGCCTTCATACTGGTTAGCTTGAGTGGTAAGGCAGAATCTTTAAAGTGTGAACTTTAATATGGCAGACGGTGGGGCAGGCGAGCTTCAGCTTGCGCCCAGGCGTGTCCGCTCCCGCGAGCCTGGAGTGGAGGCCTTAGAAGGCCTCGGCATTCTTATCTCTGGCGGCCTTTATGGTCTCACACATCAGGCATATTAAAAAGCACACCCATATCCCATAGGAGATTAGCTTATACAAACTGAGTTAAGCTTCAGTTGACTAGTTTTAGAAATTAAACACTTATTAACTTGATTTTATGATTTTCCTTTTGTATTTTACACCCAGTAAACATTTTTTTCATATTTCAAACATTTTCATAGGCCCTTGAGATGCCTATAAGCCCTAAGGCCTGCGCCGAGGGCGCCTGGGGGCGAGACGCCCCTGTTCCCTGGGACGTCTGGGCACGTCTGTCTGAGGCGAACTTGCCAGGAATCTATATCTGTTGGAGGCACTGAGCTGCCCTCTGGGAAAACTTCATCCTCCGGGAGCTGAAGTAACTGTTTTAGTTAGCACTTTTTGTTGCAAGGAGCAGAAATCCATTCCATTTTAGGAAATGGGATATGGTGTAAGGATGCGCCTGGACCAGAAAGCCGTTGTTAACTAAGGCAGCTCAGAGACAGGCCAGTCTTTCACACCGACAGTGAGGACTCCAGGCAGCTCTTCTGTCTTTGCCTTGTTCCTCTTGCTGACACCTGGTTTACTGTTTTTCCCTGCCCCGTCTTTCCTTTAGCTACCTTACTTAGAGGTTTCCACTTCCTCATGATTGTCGTCTGCTGTGACTGCTCATGACCTCTCCAGTTCTTGCACATCGTAAGCTTTCAGCTTCATGCCTCATGGCTAATCACCTCATTCTCAGTGGTGTTTAGATCCCTGAGAGAGGGAGATTTGGAACATGACTTTGTTGCAGCTTTTACTATTGTTCCAGGCCCAGAGCAGAGATCACTGTTAAGCTCTGGGCTCAGGTGTCTACACTCGGCCTAAGACACTGCGGTGAGGTGAGATGGAGCAGTCACGTGGCCCTCAGCAGCTGGGCCCACCCTGAAAGCTGAGGCGGCTCCTGTTGGTAGGATTTGCAGGCTAGCAGGATGTGTAGTTCAGTCAGGAAGAAAAAACCTGGCTCACTGTCAAAACCACTTGAAATTCCTACCCTTTAAAGTATATCCTATTAACAGCCATCATTCTAAGTCAACCCTTTGTTCTCACAGAGAAACTAAAATCCTCAAATATATTGAAAGCATTTTCACTTTTCCCTGTTCTCCCTGTTTCATTCTGTCCCAGACATTGCAGGTCACTCAAGGCCATCTGTAGGGCCCCATTTCTTCTGGTGGTGACTCCGGCTGAGATGGTGGATCTCCTCCAGATAGCTGCAGCGGAGCTGGGCGGTTCCAGCCTCTTGTAATCCGCACATCTCCTCTCCCTCAACGTTCTGGGGGGCTCTACGTATAGTAACTCAGCACCATCTCCAGATTCCCCAGATTTAGAACAACTGAACATCCCATGTAAACATGAACACCGCGGCAGTTTGATACCTAACTCCCTTAATATGTCATCAGAGTTCGCAAAGAAAAGTGGTATTCCTCAAGTGTAAAAGTAGATCTTGAAATCTATACCGAAACTGCTCTTAGCAGTTCTAGAATATAGCAGAGGGAGAAGAGGTAGGTGGAATAAATAAAATAATAATGATAGCTAATCTTTGTTGAGCCCTTAACATTTTCTGGGCACTGTTTTAAATACTTGTCATGCATTACCTTATTTAATCCTTAAACTACCTTATAAGGCCGCCTTACAAGGTCAGGTGCCTTTATTGTCTCTATTAACCTCATTCTTAACCTCGTAGGTGGAGGTTGCACAGCTAGTGTGTAGTAAGACCAGGATGTGAACCCGTTCAACCTGCCTCTAGTCTCTGCACCCTCTCAGCTGGCAAATAAGGGCCCAAAACAGTACTGATTGTAGACTCTCTAGGATTCCAGCCAGTCCTAGTCAGTTATCTGGTATCCAGTGCCTGTGAACCTGGAGCTCAGTTCCCATCAAGGGGATCGTTGTGATACTAAGATTCCTGTATCTTGGGGTGAAGTTGTGAGACTTGTCAGGGTTTCGCATCGTCTGGCCCTACGTGCCTTGAATTCCATATTTTTATATAAATCCTAAATATAAGTGGGTCTACCTGTCTCCTAGCTGGGACCCCAAATTTGTAATAGTCAGTCCTTGGAAGACTTTGTGATCCTCAATTCTCCATAATACAAACCTTCTCCTTCTCTCTCTGCATGTATCTAACCCAGCAGGATCCTAAGGCTTTTGTTGCCCTTCAGCCACTGTGGGCCCTGCCTCTGCCTCTTCTTCTGCAATGTCTTGGGGGTTTTGGCTTCTGTCACTTGGTAAGTGTTCCCCGTGTTTCACCATGTTTCCTAGATGGAGAATCCCCCTCAACTATTTCTAAGCCGAAACTGTCTCTGGGTTGTTTTTTTTTCCTAAGCATGTTCCCTTTGGGGCTCAGGAAGAAAATCTCTCTACCTCATGGTTCTTTTTAAACTCTGACCTGTATGTGGCTTTGCGCTCTCTAGGCCTTAGAGAACCTTAGCTCTGAAGACAGCAGAGGCGCCTCAGTCCCATTTGGAGCGCCTCTTTGTACCTCTGCGGTAGGAGTTTCTTACTGTCTTGTAAGCCAGTGGCCATTGAAGCTTCTCCCTGCCTGTCCCATTTTCCTCTGCTACCTGGAAGGCCTTCTGGACCAGAACCCGGCTTCTTGGACTTACGCCCTCCTTTTTCTTTCCCGTTGTTCCTATCTTCACTGAGATATCAAAACCTGTTTTTAAACTGAGTTTGTTACTCTGTACGTTTCTGATGTTTTTTCCCCCCAACAACAGCTTCCTTGTTAAATGTGAGTTCCTGAAAGTCTCCTTACCTGAGGACTGTGGTGTTACTATCAGTCTCTGTGCAAACTTGATCCTGAGAGCTGCCATGTTTCTGGCACAAGCATTTTTTTTTCTTTCTCTTTTTTTTTTTTTTTTTGTAGCCTTTGGATTTGGGATCATTTTGAAATATATTTTTTCCCTTCTTCAGCTCAATTCAAAAAGGCAACATATATCTTCTGTAGGACAGCTATTTATTTCCCTTTATCTGGTCATTGCTGAAATCCAGGATATTCCAGTTGAACATGCAGTCTAGATCGCTGTCTTTGACACTCATGATAAAAATTGACGTTCTTTCCACACGTAGCTGGGAAGCAGGAGAAGGGCCCTGTCTCAGTAGCTGTTGGCCTGGGGGCAAGTGGCTTCTTGTCTTTCCCCCTCACTGCCAGAGGTTGAGTTCTCAGCTCTAGGCCTCTCCCTCCCCTGAGTTCATTTCCCCATCGCACGAGAACTGATGCGGTGAGATAAAGGACGTTTCGGTGGCCTCTGTCCTGGGGGTCTAGTTCCTGTGCCCAGTTAGAAGGTGCAGCCCATGGGGAGGTGTGGTCTCTTTCCTCTTCCTGACCCTGTGTGGCCAGAGTGGTGAACCTGGGGCTGCTCCTGGTTAGTTCTCTCTTTTCCCTCTTTTCCGTGTGCTGGAGTGATTTCCAGGTGACTGTCCTCTTTGGAAACCCGGGGCAAGTATTTGCCTTGGCATGGCTGCAAATGAATCATCTTTCTGTCTTCTCTGTCTGTTTCTGGCTCCATTCTGTCCGGTGCTGATTGTGTCCCCTCAGCCAGCCTTCTTTATTATGGGTCTAAGATATAGGTCTTGTATTTTATGAATTCTGCCCATGGTACTGTGGTCTCAGGCTCAAGGTTACCAGCAGGAGAGAGAAAAGGAGTTCTCTGTGTGATCTAGCCCGGCTTGTGGGATGCTCTGTCAGGAATGGGATTGATTCACTAGCCTAGCTAACGATGAAGTGTTCATATGTGTGTGTTTCCAGCTCAGTGCTGTGCGCAGTTTCACCTAGAGTACCTGGAAGTGAGGAGTGTCTGCTGAGGCCGCTGGCCGGATTTGATAGTAGTCCTGAATAGCATACGTTGCCCAGAATAACTCTGCTCACCCTCCAGTACTGGTGCTACCAGGTCAAAAGCCTGACGGTGAAGTTCTGCACTGTCTGTTGTAACCATTCCCTGGCCCTTTTTGAGACTGGGGTGGTGATGCATTTCTGTCCACGCTAATCCTGAATTATGACCGCCAGATCTTACCCAGTTTTAGAATTATGGTTCTCTCTGTATGATTCTTTGGCTGTAAGAAGTCAGCTGCTCTTGTACTTTGTGCTTCCTGAGTGAGCTTGCTCCACAAGTCTGTCTCTCTCATGCATGCTTATTTTAAGTGCCAAACAGGTTATGAGTTGTGACCTAGGTATAAAAATAGCCAGAATCTGAGATGTTTAAAGTGATCAAATTCATAGAATGTAAGGGGGGATTGCTCAGTGGGTACAAAGTTTGAGTTCTGCAAGGTGAAAACATTCTGGAGATGTTTCATAATAATGTGAACAGAGCACTGCTGAGCTATACACTGAAAAATGGTTATGATGGTGCATTTTATGTTTCTGACCACAATTGAAAAAGCATTAAAAAACAATCCCCACATCTCTAACTTTTGGCCCTGCCAGCTGCTGTGATACTCCCCACCCCAGCGTCGCTGGTGCCGTAGCCTTCCGCCCGGGGCCCCCTTTCCCTTCCTTTAGCTAGCCAGGCTGGCCCCGGGCGACCTTCAGGCATTTCTTCTGCTTCTCCCTGAGGGTTTCCTTTGCAGTCCTTTGTCTCCCAGGCCTGAATGTGGATTTTGTCCCTTTAGGACTTACTACTCCAACAGTGCGAGGAGGAAGCAAGTTCAGTAGACAAGAGTCATTCCCACTGCGCGTCAGAGCTCATCTGACCTAAGCCTGCTGTGCTCAGGCTCCCACGCCTGCCCCTGCCCCGCTCTCGCTTGCCTGGCCCACTTGTGAGAGCCTGGTCCCTTGAGGAAGACAGAGCCAGTGGAATCAGCCAAAGGGAGGGGGCGGGGAAAGGCAGGTTATGCAGGGAAGGGTGCAGTGTCTCATGTTCTGTTGTACTTAAAGTGCACTGGCTCTCTGAGTGTCCTGATTATGTCCTGAAAAGATTCTGTTTTCAGCCCCCTCATCAGTGCTCCTCCTTCCTGGGGACAGAATGAGCCTGAGGCCTTTGAGCCCCGTGCTGCGAGTCTGGGCGGGCATCTGCGTGACTGACAGGACGTCTTACCATCCGTCTCGTGGCTGAGTGAACTGAGGCTGAGAGGGAACGACCTGTGGCCGCACAGCTGTGTGGTGTCCGGTCAAGGACTTGAACTTAGGACTTCTTATTGCAAGCCCAGTGTTCTACCCACCAGATTATTATGATTCTTAATGTAGGTGAATGTTACTAGAATATTTACTAGATGGATAAGATAAACTTGGGCCTCATTCACGGCACTCACGTAGGACCATCGCTGATGCAAGTCACATTCCATCCCATTACTCGGGCGTTTCCGTGTACAGTGTCCAAGAGCAGGAGAAGGGTAGCTGTGGCGTCCAGAGTGTGAACAGTCCTGTGACTAGGGGTCAAGAGGGGAAGACTGCTGGGTGGAGCGGGGGCGCAGGAGGCAGACACCAGGGTGTGAGGGCAGCGTTTGAGCAGACGCAGAGCCCTGATTACAGGGACGCAACTCCTCGGGTCTCGGGAAGCCTCTGCCTGTGAGATGATGTTCTTGGCAAGTGAATGAATGTGTCATGCACTAATTAAAATAAGGAAAATCAGGAAACACATTTTTTTGGCTTCAGCTATGCTGTGGGCTGTCTGATAAGTCCTTTCACATTTATTATCTTCTTTAATTATCACAGCAAAGCATTGTAGACATTATTATCCATATTTTTACAGATTGGTCTGAGGTCAGCCAGGGTCACACAACAAGTCGCAGAGCCGAGGCCCCTGCCCTGCTGTGTCATCCCATAGGCCATTTCCGTGGGAGGACTGGCTGGAGGGAGGCTGGGTGTACACCTGCGTCATCCTTTGTTACTTGAGTAACATGCACTTGTCCTTCTCAGACTCAGAAGAGAACTTGGCATTACTCCCTCCATGCTTTTTGCTGCTCTCCTCTGGACCTAATTTCATAGCCTTTAAGGTAATTTCTAGTTAAAGAAAAATCAGGCATGGCTTTTTTGGTCTTTTATCTCTTCTCCATTAGGAGTCATTAGGCCAAGTCACACAAAGAGCAGTTACCCGGAGACAAAATGAAAGCAGCTCAGCAGCTCTCTCCCCTACAGCTTGTTAAAACCCACAGCCCAGATCCTTAGCCACTGAACTTTGTTAGGGGAGAGGTCAGGCAACCTAGTGGACGAGAGGAGGGACCAGGTGGCCTCCCTGGAAGACGCTGGGTGAGTGGCTGAAGGCGCCGTCGCCAGGGGCTCTCTTCTAGCTCTTGGGAGTCGCACTGCACTGGAGTGTTTTCTAGCCAGCTGGCGGCAGGGGAGCAGAGAGGAAGGTGTCAAAAGTGGCATGAAATCCACTCTTGTCATTGACGTTTTCCTTAATGACATAAGACCTCACTCCGGAAAGGGGAAGAGCAGTCCCGGGCTGACGTCCTGAGTTAGCTGGAGAATCCTGCTCACAGTCAGAACTCCCTTTGACCAACCTAAAAAGCTGATCTCAGTACCCTCAGGGAAATTGTCCCTGCAAATTACTGGGGCAAATGATTATCAGTAGTACATTCAGGAAGTGCTGCCCGCTGCTTGAGCGCCAGGTCGGGGAGCACTGGGATACGGGTTCGGCACGTTGCCAAGAGGCTGCACCAGTGGCCCCCAGTGGCCAGTGACTGATGGACTCTCAGGAGTCCTGCTTCGAGGTCGTTCTGGCTTCCAGAAGCACTTGGTGCTCCAGTGGCCAGGTACAGCCGTGCCTGAGGGCCTGGACGGGCCCCTGGGTGGATGGAAGCCTGGGCTGTGTTCTGAGGCTGGCGTTCTAGTGCAGAGGGGTTTGGCCACAGAGGTTTGGACCCAGGAGAGAGAGATGCACGCTTGAGGCACTGTAAGTGCAAGTCCCTTGTCAGGTTTGACAGCGTCCGGCTTCCGTTACCGAAGTTGGCCCGGGAAGAAGAGGAAGCCTGCGTTCACCTCTCTGAGTGAGAATCACAGGAATGGTGGATGGGCCTTTGGGGGTTGTCGGCGAGGGCAGGTGAAGAAGTGGGGATGTGGACAAGCTGGAGGCCGTCGTGGCTGCTTTAGCGTGGTGGGGGGAGCCACGTGGGTCCCTCAGAGGCTTCTGACAGTCAGCCACCAAGGTGAGCGCTCTGGGACCTTACAAGGTGGGGCTTCCCTGTGACCTGTTACCATCGAGGCCGCCCCGGGCACATGCAGAGGGACTGTAATGAGGAAAAGCCGCCCTGGTGTCTTGAAGAGTGAGGTCCTGGAAAAGTGTGGGAA